TTTAGAATCTGTAATGTAGGGCTTCGTCGTGACATAAGGAAAGAACGGAGATACATACCCATGTTGACACTTACCAAGACTTAACGTCTAGTCATAGAGAACACCGATTGACCTGGTAACAGCAGAAAACCATGCCAAAACAATGTTTGTGATGAGACAGAATATGCCTAGCAAACTACCGATAACAGAGGAATAGTCTATATGCCAAATGTTTTATAGCAAAGAGAAGCCAAAGATATTGGGCGATAATGAGAGGCAAGGGAAGATCCATCAACTTTATAAACTTGGGTAATAACAGCTTCGTTTCAATCGGATTAGGAAGAGAACCTAGATCATAGCGTTGACAGAACAGATCGAATGAAATTATGCATTGCAAGCCCAAGCTCATGCACAAAATGATGTGAAATAAAACCAGGCACCTAATCATCACCTAGGCAACCCTTCCTTATGTGGGGATATATTTTTAAGCATCGAAAACACCGCGCTGTGGGAGATAACAATTTTACTCATGAGGAGAAACATCATTTAAACGTGGAGTAGGGGTAGCACAAGAAACAGAGAAAATCGACATAAATTTATCACTAAGCAAAGTAACTTTCGATGCAAGAGACTCGCAGCAGTATTCATAATGATAAACAAAATAGGGTATTTATACATCTCTACGGTTCTGCTAAATAAATCATATAAATGTCATCTAAATAAATATATGAATAAAAACACAATAGTAAGTTATGTTTGTCCTAGAAATAATTTTGCAAAGTTTTTAATTACAAAACCTATTATATAGTCGGGCTTGGCATAAGCTCCAAGCAAGCTCCTTAGAAAATCTGAGGCATTATTGGTTTAGAATAGCTACAATCAGTGTTTGAATGATGTAACAGATTGGCAGGCACAGACATATGGTTATAAAGCATAGGCAGTATACGATCCTATTATTATGACCTTTATTTACAATTTTACACTTACAATGTATCAGCTGAAATGTACTATGAAAAGACTTACCGAATATCATGTAATCTATGTACATATTTATAGACAGGATGACACATATTATGTACTTGTAGTCATATCAACTTAGCATAAACATGTTCTGTATAACTTAGCAATTGTACCTACATGAAACAATACGTTGTCGTCCTAAATTTCGCATAAAAATCATTGAGCATATGTTGAAATGATATCAGTTACTTTAGCTTAGAGTCTCCACTACTGGAGACTGTACTGAACATGCCGACGTTAGTTCTCTCGCGTAGAGTGACTTTATCATATTCGCGACGTAAGAATTCAAGAAGCGGCTCCATGTTCTGCTTATACTTTGCCGATACTGGTATGACCGGAATCCCAATCTTCTCCTGTAAGAGAGGCAGGTTAGCCAACCCTCGCCCTAGGTCGACCTTGTTAGCAATGACAGCGTGCGGTACGTGGGACAGCCCTGGACTGTAACACTCCAACTCATACTGAAGATCCTCTAATTGGGTCCAGGGCATGGACGCGGATGCATCCAGGACATACACTAGGCAGTTGCAGCGCTCTATGTGCTTGAGGAAGCTGTATCCCAGACCGCGGTTTTTGTGCGCGCCGCGTATCAGTCCAGGAATGTCTGCAACTGGAAGAGCCATACGGTAAGACCGGTGCAGTATGAGAAGTTGAACACCTACGATTGTTACGTGATACAGTTGTTCTCAAACTCAAAACTTCGCAAAGCAGCCGTAGATAAATCTATTCGAGAAAAAATGTACGGTAAATAAAATAGGCGTAGGATAATATTATTGTAAGTCGATCGCCTTTGCATATTAACACACTATATTTGCAAGATATCGAGAGCAGAGAAAAGGGGGAAACTAACCAGATATCTGTTCGTAGTCCTCATACTCGATGATGCCAACGTGAGGATTTCTGGTGGTGAATGGGTAAGCAGCCACCCTGGGTCTTGCTCTAGAGATGGCTCTTAGAAGTGTTGACTTGCCAGCATTTGGGAAACCAACCTGGTTATGAGAGTATATATCACTTAATCTGTTAGCATTAGTCTACAACCCAACATAGCAGATAAATATTGATGCTATACATAACTAGAAAGGGCAGTTGTCGCCAACTACATGTATCCCCCGTGATCTAGTATGAATGAAATAATTCTGTAAGGACGTAGAAGGTAGGTAAAGTTAAATAAGTCACAAAGACAAAGGTTTGTTACACAACTCATCTGCCTGAGATGTGCAAGTATGTTAAAATTGGTTGCCTTAGGGGTTTTGGTACGCGACACACCTTCTCCCCAAGATGTGTAAGTATACAAAGTTTGCTCGCGCTAGGTCAATTAGGGGCCGAGTTATAGAGCAAAAGGGAAATATGATGAAGGTCAAGGTCAAGGTCAATGTCAAATAAAGGTTGCAGTGACCTGGTTTTGGTACGCGACACACCTTCTCCCCAAGATGTGTAAGTATACCAAGTTTGGTAGCGCTAGGTCAATTAGGGGCAGAGTTATAGAGCGGAAGGGAAATATGGTCAAGGTCAAGGTAAAGGTCAAATAAAGGTCGTAGGGACCTGGTTTTGGTATGCTGCGCACCTTCTCCCCAAGATGTGTAAGTAGACTATGTTTGGTCACGCTAGGTCAATTAGGGTTCGAGTTATAGAGCGGAAGGAAAAGTGTCTGCGGCGGCGCCGAGCGGCGGCTGGACAGACATGAAACCATAGTATCCCCGCCGACTTCGTCGAGGGGGATACAATTAATACAGTACCATCCATTATTGGTTTATATAATTTCGTGCTTTACTATTGAGATTTTTATAGATTATTATATATTATCGATAATATATTATTTTTGATTTTTACAGGTTAACCCATACATCATATGCCTGTAACTTATCCATAATATACAATTATCTATCATAGATATTTTATACACATTTTAATGATTTATATGAGGTGTCACTACACTATGACACATCCATATTGTAGCACCCAATATCAAGTGTTCCATGTCAGTAATTGACGTGCACCATGCATAGATTTGTGTCACACATCCAGCACTTACCAGCCCCGCATGTGCAATTGTCCTCAGTTCTACATGGAGTAGCTTCTTCTCACCGATGGCTCCCTCTTCAGCAATGTACGGTGCTCTGTTCTCGTTTGAGGCAAAGTAGTGGTTGCCTTTCCCACCAGCACCACCTCTCGTTGCCACAAAAACGTCTTCCTTCTTCTTCAAATCACATACCATGGAACCTCCCTCGTCGAAGAACACTGTTCCCATTGGAACCTGAATGAGCATATGATGATACGACACAAAATTCATTTGAGTTAAGCAATATTGTATATTCGGACTTCACACTTTGGAATTATTAAAATGATTAAATATCTATTCAGGATTTTGATTTTGCTAGTTATAGAGTGACTGTTTCTAAAATTGCTCACGTGTCTGTGTGAAAAAAAAACATGCAGACACTAACTAAAATTATCCATATATGCAGCTGGTTGACCTAAGGAAGGATTGTGAACAGGTAATAAATACGACCTTGGTTAATTTGGTCCCCTGCTATATACGCCAACTCTATTGCGTAGAATTGGATGAATTGTGTAATATATGTTGTGCAGAGCCTAATATATAGTCAGTGCACAGCTGCTATTTATGTGTTGTAAATGGCCAAGTTAATAATATTTCAGTAACTCAACACTTGACTTTCATATGTGATTGCTCGAACAGAAATATTTGCATATTTCTATCATGGTCAGGAGTTCAGTATGTGCATAATATGATAATATTACACTGCGAAAATAAAATATAGGCCTGAATTTTCTGTATAGACCGGATATTAATATGCACATGTATGTGCACTGGCAGTCATGTACACGCAAGAATGTACACGCAAGCATACACACTCACAGTGACACGTATACGCAAACACACACACATGCACGCACGCACGCACGAACGCACGCACGCACACAAACATATATATATGTATATATAGTGACAACACAAAGGAAAACCGTGCACTTATATATGCCTTCCTTCACAGCATGGCACAACGCCTGTTTACCACTCTGCAAGCTCTTAATTACACTCGTCCTTGCAAGCCTTGTTTGCTCGCATCACAATACTAATCAGCTAGCTGCAGTGGCTGAGCAGCTAGGGTATAGGTAGAGCACATAATTACATTAATAAATAATAAATAAGATAATGCACATGTGCCATTGAGGGGGTGCATGCATGGCACCACGGTTCGCCCCAGTAGGAAAAATCTGCGCTGCATCCCGTGTGCCACTTTGTAGGTAGAAAGCTAATTAGGAAGCAACATTTTGTCGTTTAAAATGTAAATTAACCTGACGAGAACAACGGCTTCCCTCGACTTTGATTCTCCCTAACCGTTATGAGACTGTCATCACATCACGTGGAGGTAATTGCTTTGCAAACATTTATTTAAATGTGAAACAATCGTGGTAGCTTCAGGCAGAAATTACGAATACGGGTCTTACCAAAATGGTATACCTATTGATGTAAGATCTGGAAAATCAGTGTCTCAAGGCTTTCAAAATACATATAAACTGTGACACATTCATTTGCAGCAAATGCCACAGCTAATTTCTCACTGAATAGTATGAAGCCTTGGTGTAAAGACGTTGTTTTTATGAGTGAGGGGACTAAAGCTAGACGGGGTTATATTATTGTCCAGATAATCATGCCTAGAGACCCTTTATATGAATCTATATTAGGTCGACTATAACCAGACCAAGAGCTGCCTACTAGCGCCACCTATTGCAAAGTATATTGTATAAAGCAGAGGCGGGCGTATTATACATAATCATGAGGAATTGAAATGGGTGTAACAGGTTTCTGCATTTTCAGACGGATGATAGGCCAGACAGATCGTTAGTTCATCACTCAAATTAAAACAGACGGAGCACACATCTTTGCTACTCCTACTAGTATTGTCACATGGTCACAGTGATGTTTATTGGTTTGTTTCTGGCTAAAAATTCGAGCCAAATTTTTAGCCATGTTGTTGATAAACGACATTCAAGTCTGGGTTGCAAGGTAACCAGCAGTGAAATTTCACAAACCAATATGAATCTGGCAATGTGGTCACGTGCTTAAGAATGATGCAAACTGCCAGTTATTCTATTCATCGTTAACAGTGTAGATTAGATAGACATATTACCAAGAGTTAATAAAACAAACCAATAGCTGTATTATTAGCTCTTGATATTACGACTTTGAAATATTTGAACATTTGAGTATTGAATATATATTTGAATATTATAATATATAGTTAAATTTTGAATATTTGAACAGCAGTTGAAATATGTCCATTCCCTTTTACCTTGATAATTAGATGTTCTGCATTCCCACCATTACAGTCTTTGTTTGATCCTTTCATGCCATTAGCAGCCTTGTACATAGGTTTCAGGTGTTCCAGTGACATCATGTTTGCATCCACTAGCAAATGAAAAAATTCAATTTATTACTCTTGAAAGTATCTTGACCAACTGTAAAAACAGTTACCATAGCAATTTCTCAGTAATGTTTTTACAATCTTCACATATAAAAAAATGTTTATTTTTCAGCATATAACACCTTAATTGGATTAATATCATTAAAGAAAAGAAGAAAAAACATACAGGGGTGGCATGGGAGCATTCAATGCAAGTACTATTTGCTGAAACATAATATTATATATAATGAGTGTAACACTGTCAATAGAGTCTGTGGGTACCTTTAAAGATCACATGGCCTCCATTACCCCCATCCCCACCATCAGGTCCAGCCCAAGCATTGCAAAACACTCGCAAGAAAGATATGTTGCCATCTCCACCATCTCCAGCCTGCATGAGAACCCTTCTGTAATCCACAAAAGGCCTAGCCTGAAAGGAGACATAACAGAAATAATTTTGTGAAAACTAAACACTGGATTCAATGGAGATGTTATCTAGAGACAGCTTTACATGGAACCTAATAGGATACTTATGCCAAAATACACATACAGATGATGCAATTATTTGCAAATGGTTAGATATACTATTGGCATCTCAACTACTTGCATCCAAATTGTCCTACCGTATCCCTCGAAGAACGAGGCTTCTTCCAGCGCTTAGGTTTGACGGCCGTGCTTTCCCTACGGAATTGTGCAGTTGTTCTACCAATCAGCTCTACAAGATGTCTACCCACAACTTTTTCTGTCAGAAACATCTGCAAATCATCCGAAAAATCAGCAATAGCCTGTGTGAGAGCTTTCTAACACAAAACTAAAACTGGCAACTTATTTTAAAATAAATGTTAAAAAAACTTATCTTACTATAAAAATCTATCTTACTGATAAAGCATTCATGCAGTACTGAACATATATTGATTTCTTCTATAACAAATATTCCATCAGGATTATTTATCTGACAGTGTTACTGGATGTATTATACTGTGTATTTTTGTATCACACTGTATTGTATTTTACTGTATTATAATGTTGCAGTATAAACAAGTTTCAATTTTCAGCTATAGATGCATATATATATACCTACTGTGAGCTCGCCTATGTTGCAAAAATTCACTACAACTTATTTGTATTGCTACTTTCACAACATTTCTTCATAAAATCTAAATGAAAGTTACGAAAGTAGCACCACAGGTTGTTTACAGTGTTTACACATCCGGTACACAGCCGAGCAAACGTTAATTGTGCTTAACAGTTCTTTTCTGTGATAACACATGTTATAATACATTGTTCGATGTTTACTCAGTACAAAATTGTGAAATTTGTTTAAATCACATGTTATCTACATTACATATATGCAATCAGGAAACAAATATAGTATTTTCGTTCCAGGAACTATTTGCGCTAGCGTAGGGTTACTATTTAGTGTTCTCGATCTCTGACACTTCGCTCTACATAATTTATTTGTATTTTCGCCAAAACCGCGTCTGACAGGGTAATTTAAAACAGTCATCTTCAGAGCACATTTCTGGCTCAATGAGAACATTTTGTGATATTTGTATACTGTAAGTATGCTCACAGTAGGTATAACTGCATATATAGGGTTTTTGTTGCGAGGTTTATCCACTTTAACTATAGAGAGCTAGATAAATTTGACACATAAAAAATGGCGTAAGCAGTGATCAGTCTCGATCAGAGGTTTGAGCACAACAATTTCTTTTATCAAATATTAGGGAATACCTTTTTTAACGTGACTATGAGTATGATAAATCCTGTTAAAATTAATATAGGTTCTGTATGCAGAAAGTGTAGGCTAAGGCCTATATATAAAAAGAGGACAACAATCTCAGAACCACCATGACAGTTTGCAAACACCCATGTGGAAGCTTTATGCCCTGAAGTATCTAATTTAGGGCAGTTCTGAAGCGGCCAGGGACAGGTTTTAAAATCCAGAAAACTAAGATTATGGCATAACATACCAAAAGATCAAACGTTTTTTTGTACAAATATAATGAATGTGTGCATTTCACTGCGGGTTACTAAAAACAATGACAACAAATTATTTATACGTAAGCGTAAGAAATATATATTCATGTTTTGTTATAAACTGAAAGTATAGATGTAAGTAAAAGTCCAAGGCGATTTTGAGAGGGCTAACTCTGACATGGGCACCGGTTAACTCGACCAACCCTCAAATTCCTCTCACATTGTGGCGAGTTTACCTGCCTGGAGGTCGTCTAGCCAGCTGGAGGTGGACCCTCTGGCATAGCTATGGAGTATGGTACTATAGAGGGTTCCGCGACTTGCACTAAAAATAGCAATATTACCTACAATCCCGTGCCGCAGGCCATACTGGTTCCCAGAATTGCGAACACATGTTACCGATATGCGCAATCTACCGATTTTACATCGATAGATTGTACAAACGATAGTGTTATTATAGTAATCTATATTAGCAGTAAGTGGATCCCGGTTTTGCAGACAGGTTTACCAGCGCGTTTTTGGGTGCTAGAGTTCGATATGATCAAGAGTAGATAATAGGGAAGGAGTGTGACATCAATAAACAAGGGAAATTTGTCATTTACTAGCCTTAAAATACCTATGATTTACTACGCGTAACTCATCCAACTTGAGCTCAAATCGTACACAGTACATTCGCCTAGCATCGTGCGAAATCGTTTCCTCGTATACACAAGCAATCCGGAGATACAGACTAAAACGTACGACACGATTATCCATTCTTTAGCCATCAATCCGAGCCGATTGCCCGCCTATATTCAAACAAAATGGAACTGGCAACAAGAGTACACGATCTCTAAATAATTGTGAACACTCAGTCTCAGATGCTTCAAAGATGTGTCAACTTTGTGTAATGCTGAATGCCTCACTAGTGAATAAAGTTTCAACTTCCTATACAAATTCTGGACCCTCGCCAACATGCAGCTAGGGCCTGCATACCTCCCAAAGTGACGCGTCGTCAATTGACCAATCGGAGCGCTCACAGCTCAGGCACTAAAGCTGATAAATATAAAGCTAAAACCTAACCCTAACCCTTACCAGTAACGCTCATAGGGTCCATGTCCCCCAGGGTACTGCCGGAACGTACCCTGGGTACGGTCCGGTATACCGGAACATACCCTGGTCACTATTTGATATGGTTAGGGTTAGGGTTAGAGTTAGGGTTAGGGTTAGGGAGTAGGCGTAGGCGACTCCCCAGACTCGTTAGTGGAGTAGGCGAGGTACGGTCCGGCATATTAGATAGTACCAGGGTACCTTCCGGCAGTACCCCGGGGGACATAGACCCTCTCAGCCAAAGGCAAAGCA